GTGTTTGGGACCTGCTAGATTTCTTCATACAGCTCAAGCCAAATTTTACCTGTTCATAAATGGAACCACAATGAATCCAATACATAACCAGGCAACAAAGTTAGTATTCGGCATGGTTCTGTGCCTCATGTACTGGTCTACCTGGCTAGTTGGCTGCGGCCAAAAAGAACAGCAGTCAGAATCCTGAATGCACAACAGGTACGCATGATGCGATTGACTGCGGTGCAAGACTGGGCTCCCCCGCAATGTCTCTGCTGGCCACGAAATCTCAAAGCTGTACGCGCCTGCTAGGCTTAAATATACCCAATGTCTGCTTAAAAACCGGCTCCCCATGGCTGTGAGTTGCAAAATCATTGCGGAAGCATCATTGGTATCTCTGCAGGTTGTAAGCTGTTGTTGGCAAAATGCTGCTGTAGGCAAGTGTTCCAATCATAGTGCAACGCCAAGCAAGTTATTTCGATGTGCTGACTTCTGACGACATAGGGCTGCACCTTGTCGCACTGACAGAGTCTCCCGGAGGCCTAAACATCGCAGCGCGAGTTTCAAGCAAATGCATTAGGGCATCTTTGGTCTAAGGTTATGCCGCTGCGCCATGAATTGAGGGAAGGCCGCAAACACAAAACTACCAAAAAGGTTCCATCCTCTGCCCATTGTATATAGTAGCTATAGCTTGCAGCACCATGGATCAAGGATGACTAATTGACTGTGGCAAGCGCTTCCCACTGTTCTCTCCAGGTTCAATGGTTTGCCATCGGCCAGTGCCTGAGCACCTTCTGGCACCTGCACCGCGTTCGAAATCTCTTGCCTAACTGTCCTTAAGCAAAGCCTCCCACCGCACAACTCGCAAAACCTGGTAATTAAATTACTTATACCACCGCTTACGCTTAATATACGAAGCTGTCACATCACTGAATGCACTAGTGCTATGTCAACACATGAAGCCAGTTGACCCATTCTGCCAGAAAGTGCAACTGCCTCCTGGGAGAGGTCCACACCCATGTAGGCATTGGCCCAACATCTCACGACCTATCTTCTCCAGACTTGCTTCGCAAGGCACAGCTGATCTTCATTGCCATGGTAAACGTGCATGCTGCCACTCGCAGGCTTCGAAGTGGTTTGCTGAGTGGGAGACATCTCTGAGGCTGCGGGCGTTGCTGAACGCCACCTAGTGTGTCATGCACCAACCACCTTGTGTTTGGTGGCTTCAGGAGTTGTTCATCTGCTGCTTTGCAATCCTGCGCTCTTGTCTCTATTCCAGACCCGGTTGAGTCAGCTCTGCGTCTCCACGCTGACAGTCACATCCCCTCTTCCCAGCCTTCCAGTTTGGAAAGGACCGCCCAGGATAGATGGCCCCGACAGACAGCAGCGTGACTGGCCGACAAAGGGAACAAGAAACTTCGATTTCAACTCCCCCCTTCCGCTGCAAAACACATCGACAAGGAAGGTCAAGCGGGATGAAGTCAATGCAAGCTCTCTCCCGTTGTTTGTCGCGCATACAGGGGGGCATGTCGCCCTGCCACTACCACTTGTCCGCAGCTGTCCTACTTTGAGGAAGGGCCATTCTTCGTGACACCCACCAGCAGCCACAAGTATGCATCGAAGTACATTGAGAGAGGTGCGGAATTCCAAATACACACAATGAATCCACATGAATCCACATTGTCCATTCCAACTGGAGCGAATGACGCCAGTGGACATGGGCAAAGTGAATTAAAGCTCAGACTGAATAGGTGTAAATCATGGATCAAACCTTATCTGCATCGCAGGGATGCCGATCTAGCCCGACTGGCAGGGCTGGATATCTTTTCTCAAACCTCAAATGTCAGATGGCGGATCAAACCATATCAAGGCTCGAATAACAAGACTCACAAGGCATGCGGACGTCGCAGCCACTATTAAAGGGACAGCGCAAGGAGCAAGGGTAGTGAAACAAGATCACAAGGATGGTTTGCAAGAAAGGAGCAGTCGATGGACTTCCTGCATGCGCCTGCTGCAGGCCCCCTTGTTGAGCTTGTGATTCCAGAAATCATTTCCGATGCCTGTATCAGTCTCAAGGTCATACTCCAGGTAGCCCGAAGTGCAGAAAAGATCCTTTGATGGCTGCAATGTAATCCCCACAAGTGTGAGGAAGGAGTTGCATCTAGACAGACGAGTCGCATAATTGAGAATGCCAGTAAGCTCGTCAAGGAAGATCTGCGTGGCCGAGTTTCACTTGGCAAAACTGCAAGTCTCTGGCATGTTTGAAATTGGATCTCTGCCCCAAATCAAGGGCTTGTCACATTCACAGCAACAAAACTGTCTGGAGAACTGTCACTCGAACGCGTTTTTCTTTCAAAGCAGCTTCGTGACGCACACTCGAATCCCGCCTCTCCGGCAAACTCAGAGGACCAAGTGCAGTCTGCAGATCCTTGATTGAAACAACTACTCTGCCAACCAAAAAACAATTGATGTTCAAAGTAGCCGATGCATCCTAAGCTCCATCAGGTTTGCTGCAATATCCACCCGGTTCTTCTGCCTTGCAGCCGTCAGTCTTGCCTGACGGGCTCTATCGAGTCAAGCTCTGCGGCGATCACCACAGAACGCTCGGCTTCGCGAATTCGAGGCCGCCAAGAGGAGAACACTGCCAAGAGAATAACAAGACGGCTTTTGGCAGGCATCCAGGTTGCTCCACTTGTCCTTTGATGGACATGCTCCTGGAAGTGAGTACCAAACCACATCGTCATAGGCAGCCTTGGAGGAAAGAAATTGAGTGCGGACCAGGTACAATAACAACTGAGAAGAAGGCGGTATATCTGAATGGGTCAACGTGCTTGCAGCCAGGGTTGTAACCATACCTTACATATTGAGACGTGCTGCTCTTGAAGGTGGCGCAAGCGTCAGTCTGGCGCGAGCACTCTAATGCGACTCTCACGGGCTTGGCCAAGTCGCTTCTTCCAATGCTTGGTCTTATTCGATCCAGCTTGGCTCTTCGCCTGAGGCTCGAACGGCCATGCAAAACTGGCTGGAAAAACCAGAATGTTGCTACTGTTGCTCTTCACTTCTCATGCCAAAAAAGCGGCAAAAAGAAACTTTCACGACCTCCATCACGGAGCTTTCGCGGGACTATTTCACAACATTCAATGTTAAATTCAATCAACAAGTAGCAAACAAAATGCACTTCCGCAGTTCCGGGTCGAAAAGTCGCGAGCTTTCAGCACCAAAGTACCACACAAAGCACAGTTCTGCCCCAGCTGGAAAGCCGACTTGTCAGCACCAAAGTCACTTCCGCTGTACTGGCAACTACTGGCAACTGCTCAATAGCAAAGTAGAAGAAGTGCAGCAGGACACAAGGGGATCCTTTGACCACCGTGTCCGACAGGTGCCCGGAGGTCCATCGACGTTCGCGCAACTTCGGCAACAACAGCCGAACATCCGCTTGAGAAGTTGCGCTCAACTAGACCCGAAAGCAAAAACTTCACAACTCCAACAAACTGCTTTCTGCTGGTCGTGGCGTATTCTTGCCTTGGTCTATGTGCATTGTACGCACTGCCGGCAAATACACATAGTTCATCAGTCCATCTTCATCTTAGCCAACCTTGCAAATAACTCTCGCGGAAACAAACACAGACCTTCTCGACCTCCATTGCGAAGCTTCGGAGGCCAACACTAAGATCACAAGGTTCTCCCCTATCTCAATGCAAGCACCTTTCGGACTTCCTGAATCGAAAGGAATGAAGCTGATCAAATCCCATCAGGCATGTTCGCTCATGCAGCCAAGCGTCATGTTCAAATTTGACATAGCCTTAGAAGCAGCTGTGCAGCTTTGACACACTTGTTCATCCTCCGAAAAGCACTTCTGAGACGTGACCACAGACAAGATACTGTCGAACACCTTGCCGGTGTGCTGGTGCAAGGAGTGTGTTGGCTTCAGCGACATGAAGTATCTATGGATACCTGCTGGCAAACTCCAAGGCAGCTTTGACAATTGGAAGACTGACGAAATGGCACTCTTCTGCAGCTCAAGTAATCGAGACTCTCAGACTCGCACGATCAATGCCGTATTTCCGAGGGCAGTTGGTGACAACCTCATTATGCAAATACCTCAGCTGGAATAGCTGCAAACCTATGAGACCCTCTCATCGTCCGTCTGGAAAGGCAAGATCTGAGCGTAATCCACATAGACTTGAGATGTTCCTCAGGCCCGCACCATAGCACGCCGCCAAGACTGCCTCAAATACTGAGCAGTTGCATATAACACCGCTATCCAGGCACGATTCGGCCTGCGATTTGATGTAAACAACTGGCCGAATTTACACGGTGTTTGTTGGGTAGTGCTCAGTGCTGGGCAAAATATCCAGAAACTGAAGAAACAACTTATGAGCCACTCAATGACAATCCAAGCGACATGCTCCAAACTCCATTATTCGCCCCTTTCGGGTGATGCAACAAATGCAAACTGGTCTGGCACAACAAAAAAAACTTTGGCTGTTCAAACAAGGCGCCAGCGGCGCTGCTATCATTCAGGTGGGGCAGCGAGTAAGGCCCCACTGCCTCCATGCGCAAGAGACATTGACACCGGGAACATCCCAAGGAGTGTTTTCGCACCCATACAGTAGCCAAACTGTGTTCAATGAGTGCGTGTGCGGTGTTCTTTTGTCGCATTCGCCTTGTACATGTAAAAAACCATCGCTGATGTCGGAGCTCGTTCCCTGCAACCACCTTTCCCATCGCTTTCCTCCATAAAACCACATGCGCCAATGGTAGCAACCTGAGCTGAGGCAACATCAACATCATATCTCGCCCATGCATGTCAGCCCCTCTACAGCCTACATAGCATCTTTCCTGCCAAGTCACACATTGATGATAATGCTCCCTTGTGAAACCGAAGGCACCTTTACATTCCGCGGCATCCCAGGCTCTAGCATCCTTTTGGCAACATGCATTGCCTCAGCGAAATACGCTGCCCGTTCGCGAGATCGCAACAGGCCTTCGCCGCACCAGTTGCAATAGCCTGAACCGCCGCAGCGAAAGAAGCAGTCCTTACGGCCACTTACGGCTCACACGCATTCCGCCAGGATAACCTTCCGCGCAACAAAACGCGTTTGCTGGTGCTGCGTCGAGGTCCAAACAAGGCTAATGGTGACATTGCGGTACCCGGTAGCTTCTACCACCTGTTGCTGCAACAATGGCTTGATGTTGCTTGTTGTCTCACTCAAATACACCCAATTCAGCACAAGCTGCCTGCGTTGAGTGCTTCACAGCATTGGCGTGAACAGGAGCAACGCATGTGTGCCATCTCGTCTCACTGAATGTCACACCTTGGCACAGAATGACTGCGCACACTTGGCTGGCAGCTGCAGTAAACCAATGCTACTCCCTCAACACATCTGGATTTGACTCAGCCAGGCGACCGCTGCACTCAGGTGGATCGAACTTTGAGTTTGCGCGGCAGCACGCATTGCCGGCTCCACACCAAGCGCAGTCGCCAGAAACGTTGCCACAATGATGCCAGCAGTTTTGGCCTGACGGCCAAGCAGCGTATACACCCTTTTAACGCGTCAACTGCTAGAACCGCCACTGAAATCATGGAGGCCGAGCATTTACAAACAAACGGCACAAATAATGTGTATTGCTGGATTAATGTCAGAAATTAGCATGCCTGCCCTTGCCCATGGTCATTCGGCCGCAAACAAAAACTCAATCCAGAAGTGCACAGCTCGAATCAAACATGCGAGAGCTGCACCGCAGCGCACATCGACATCAGTTGCGTTCAAGCTGGTCGCAGTTGTCATTTTGGTGACCAGTTCCATTCCCCGCAAACAGTCCTGCCTGCATTTTGCAATGGCTGCGGTGGCCAATTGCTGACGTTGGCCAACTTCTTCATTAAGCTAGGAGAGGCCTCATGCACGGTGGGCTCCATCTCTCGGGATCCCGCGCGAAGCTGTCGAACATATCCAGAAGTGTTCATTGAAGTTAAGCAAGTTTCAAATGGGTGCTTGCAAAACGGAGGATTTCATGGAAAGCTGGCGTCGCGTTGTTTTTCGTGTTTAAATCCAACGGTAAAAATCAGCAAAAAGTGTAACCTCAAAAAACAACACACACACACACACCCACTTGCGCCTTCTCAGGAACAACGATGGCTTCTTGCTTCTCGCCTAGCACCTCTTTGCTCACAGCTCGTGGGAGCCAAATGGATTCCAATTCAAGCCATCTCCTGGCGTGGATCCTGCGGGCGCAGAGCTCACAACTCGTGAAGCTGCCCATAACTCTCGAGCTACTAACGATGTGCTCAAGACCATCATGTAGGTTCTGCTGATAAGCTTGTAACCCCACTCCTCAGCGGTTCTCGCAATTCAATGCTGCTGATCGCAAGCAGCAGTAGTCCCTGAGTTCAAGTCCAAAGCAAATTAGTGGCTCAACAAGATGAGGATTTTGTCAGGCAGTCAGTGGCACACATCTTTGGGCGGCTGCAGCCAAACGGCTAGTATCTCAAAAACAGGTCCTGGAGAAAGTGTTGCTCCCATGCGACGACCCAACTGCAAACAAGCTGCCCCAACAGTTGCACAGCAGAATCGAGCTAGCCGACTTGTTCGACAAGCGCTTCTACTTATCCTGAGTCACAAGCCATTCAGCCGTTGCGTCAGTGCACAAGCTGACAAACGTGCAACCCTGATATGCTCAGCGGCGGGGGCAAGTCTTCATCGCACACAAGTGGTTCCAATTCCATTTGCTCTTTGTCTGTTCGTCCAAGTTGTCACTGATTCAATACACACTGGGCCAGATTGTCTGTCTGTTTTTTTGGTTTTTTGTTTTCTTTTTGTGAAAGTGTCTTAACTAGTTGCAGTCTGCTCAATGGACTCGAAGCTGGTTTGAGGCGAGCGCTGGAGCACATGATAGATATTGCTCCACAGAGCTCCTGTAAAACGTAGACCTGCCCCTTTTGCGCAACGCGGCAAGGACGCCTTGAGGTCCTTTGGCTCCTTTCTTTTCCTGAGAAAAGGTCCAGAAAGGTCGTGAAGTCTCGGCTTCCCTTCTTCCCTTCATGAACAGAATAAAGTGGACTCCCATCTTGAGTGAAACCAATGAGGCATGAGGCCTTCCAATCGCATTGTGCCTCTTAGATTGCTTGAAAAGAAGGCAGTGTAGCATGAATCCACAGCTCATGAGCCAGCCGGCCTGGTTCATATCCTGGTGTGATCTGCCATGTTCACTGTCCATCTAAGCTTTGCTCAATCAAACAGCTGTCCCTGCGGTGCACCCCTTGCCATCGAGACCTTACATGTACATATACATATTACCCCTATACGTACATAATATATATATATAGAGATTATTGTTACTATTGTTAGTATCATTATTATTACTATCACTATTATTATTGTGAGTATCATCCTCAAGTTATATCACTATTATTACTATCATTAGTCGTAGTAGTAGTTGTAGTAGTAGTAGTAGTAGTGGTAGTAGTAGTGGTAGTAGTAGTGGTAGTAGTAGTAGTAGTGGTGGTAGTAGTAGTAGTAGTAGTAGTAGTAGTAGTAGTAGTAGTAGTAGTAGTAGTAGTAGTAGTAGTAGTAGTAGTAGTAGTAGTAGTAGTAGTAGTATATATATATATATATGTGTTTACACTTGTATGTGTGTACGATTCTGCATGAGTTGTTTGCTTTATGCATATTGCATCATATTGCATACAATAAGCTTTGCTGGCTGGCTTGAATTGCACTCCAAAAGAAAAGTTACATGCTGCACGGACATGCTGCCATTCAGCTTCTTGGGGCCAGCAGCTGCAGCCCCAAGCATGATTCAACCACACAGCAAGAGTGTCAAGCACAGCTCAAGAGATGCGACATGTCGTTCCATGATGCCAAGAAAGGTAAGCTCTGCTTACACGTGCAACTACAAGTCTGAAATTCCTTGTGGAATATCATTTTGGCAGGGAGCCAGAGAGAGCACTAGCCGCAGGGCTCAGGCCCACAGCGAACCGTACAAGGCCACTCTGAGAGCAAACTTGATCTTCAGGACATCTGCGGTGCATTGGTGGGGTTGGTTGGGCCTATATAAGGGTGCTTCCTTGAATGTCGGACTCTGCCCTTCTAAAGGATGATGATGCGTTTATTTAATGGCCAACGATGTCCTGAAGATATTGCAGATCTCTGAATGACTGCCACAGACTGTCAGGCAACAACTTGGCAAACATCCCCAGGACCTGGCCACCCAGAACTGAAGGTAACGAAGGCAACGCATGTATCGCATCAACATCCAAATATTGAGGGCATGCAAAACTGAACCGACACATTGAGTTGCCCAACTTATCTTGTCTCTTGGGTCTGTACAGCGGCAGCCAAGCGTTGCTCAATAAAATGGCGCACGGAATCCAACAAGTTCAGCCTCCTCAAACAAAATACAGTCTCAGTTCGGTCATGCCAACTGCGGAGCTAAGTTTGTGCCTGTGCGCCGCTTTCAGAAGCCAGCTGGCGCTCCGCGGGTGAAACACCGCGTCAACAACCTGGCTGCAAGGACAAGCGGGCAAGTAAGTCAACAACTTGACTGCTCCATCTCAAGTTGCAAAATGAAAGCATGTTGTGACATGTGTGATGCCATAATCCCTGCAACATTCCAAACATCAAAGCCTCAACACGGAGCTTCCGGCGCCTAGCGGTTGCTGTGTTTGCATACAGCAGGCTACAAGTGCAATTTATGTGCAGCAGCCCGATGTGAACCCTCCATTTTCACGGCAATACAATCTGAGCCCTGTGCATCTGCTTCTATTCGGCGCGCTGGCTGACCATCCTGCATGGGCTGGACTTGAGGCAGTCAGTTGGTTTCATTGAAAGGTCGAACAGGGATACTCGTTGTATTGGAAACTTTAAGTACTGCAAAACGTATGCCTTGCCATCAAACTGCCGTTGCAATTGACACTCATGACCCGGAAGCTTCAATTACAAATGTGGGTGTATATACATATGTACAGATTATACAAACTTTCTTCCGACACATGCTGGCTTCCTTCCTTGCGTCACTGATGTTGTTGACTTGCTGAGAAGCGGCAACCAGGCTTCCAATGCTGAAGAACGCCCAAGCCTCCACGATGATCCCGCCGCCTTCAGCAGCAATGGCCTTGGCAACCCCATCGCCTTTGGATCACCCGAATCAAGTCGGCAAGATTGCTTTGCTGGAGGAAACAACAAGGGTAACACTTCAAACCAATGATGCGAGTTGAGTGTCAGACACCATTTGGGCTACCAGCTGCCAAAGACTGGCCTCTTCTCTTGCAACGAACTTCAAATTATTATCACTGCCAACACATTTTAAAGGCTGCCTGTCAAACCTTCTCAGGACAGTTTCCGCCTATCCTGTCTGTACATTCAATTGTTCACAACACCCACCTGGCTGAGCTTGTGGCAATGAAACCGCGATTCGTTAGCTGCAGCTGCGGCCTAGCCTGCGCAACACGCGTCCAACATGGCTTGAAGAAAACAAGCGCACAGCTCTACAACAGCTGATTTGCACACAGAACTCCGCCTCTGTCCACAGCTTGCAAGCCGGGCGAAGCACAAACCTGATGACACCAAACCGGTTTTGTAGTGCTTGCAGGACCAATGTAAAGAGGCGACGTGCAACGCTGACGAAACCTTCTTCCACTGTTGACTTGAAGAATCTCACACACCTACCATGTATTGAACAAACCCTGCAGGTTGCGCCGGCACAAGCCTGTCACCGCAGTGCTCCACACGGTAGGAGCTTTGCTGGGCAAGGGAGGCCTCCATCACGGGGAATCCACAAAAGTAATGCCAACCGAGCATATCTGCTGAATCCTGACGTATTCACGGGCCACCTGCGTTATCGGAGTTCGCCGCGGGCGCTGACGAAGTTCGTCAGTCCACTTTCTGCACTGCAAAGCCTCGCAGCAGCTGCGTGTTGCGGTCATGAAAAGTTGTTTTAAATCAAACACTTGAGGGGCTGACAGGGGGGAACTCCACGAGAAAAAAACAAGAAGAGCCAAAGCTCTCGAACAGCCCTGCTTCGAGCGGGCGAAAAAACAATTTCAAGGAACAATGCACAAAACACAAGGCAGGGCGCAATCACATTGCATGAGTCTTAAGAGCGCGTACTAAAATGGAGGAAAAAGCGGAGAAGAGCAAACAAAGGAGCGGTGCTAAGAGAAGAGCGGAGAGAGAGGAGCCCATCACGTGGAGAAAAGAGGAGAAGAGCGGAGCGAAGAGGAAGCACAGCGGGGAGCAGAGCGCAAAGCAAAGCGAAGAGTGGGCAGAAGCCGGGGAGCCTTGCGGCGGTCCGGGGAAGCGCGCAGCGAAGGGGCAAGGGGAGGTGGGCGCAGGTCGGAGGCCCGTAAAAGAAACCAACCAACCTTCCAAAGCCCAAGCCCAATCTCCCAGACTGCAGCCAGCACGATAAGAACTGATACATCACAAATTAGTGTGATTCACTGGCCCGGTTATTTGCAATAAATCAAGAAAGGCCCCAACTGGTAAGCCAGCTTTAGACGTTCCTGACAGCGAAAATCATGGCAAGCACCATTGAGCAAGACTGTAGGAAGATGCCCGGATTCTTGCTAGTTAACACTGTACACAATGTCAACACTTAGAGCATCGCAGTATGACACACAAAAGCAAGCTGCAACAGTATGTGTATGTATATATATATAAGGCCTGGATTGCCTGGGATTGGCTTGGAGTGTCTGGATCTGGATCTAGCACTCTTGTTCGGGTTATCTGGAACACTTTGATGAAGCATTCACAGGCTTGGCTCCGGCCCAGCTGCAGTGGAGCTTCGGAATGGTCTGGAACAGGATTGGAATGTCTGGAACGGGGGCTGGAACGGGCAGCCCGTCAGCTCTGATAGGAAAGTTGACTCTCGCCCCCGCTATGACTCTCTCTCTCTCTCTCTCTCTTTCTCAGTCTTCTCCCTCTTTCACCTTTGCTTCTTTTTTCAATTGTTTCTTCCATTGCTGCCTGGAACAAAGCTGCTGCACGTGATCCAGATATATATCCGGACGTCTAGAACGAGGTCTGGAGCGCTGTGGGCCTGGGGCTTCTGGATCTAGCTCTTTTGGCGGCCGCCATATGTATATATATATATATTACATATATATATATATATATGTATATATATATATAAATACATTCTCTTACGAACGATGGCTTTAGCCTGAGAGCCTGAGGATGCCTAAGCCCCCTCAATACGTTTCTCAAGGACGGTTGCCGCCAAGCCACCCCTTGTAAACAAATTGCGTGCGAGGTCAGCATCTTGCAGAATGCAATAGCAAAGGATTCCCCTGATCAGCCCTCACCCTCCTCTAATACATGTCCAATCTGTCTCCAACCTGTCTCCAACGTGCTACAAACTGTATGCACTGTCGACCTGTAAAATGCTGCGCTACAGCCGCTACAGACTGTCCAGAGCTTAAAGGGAATTGATGGCTCGGGCTTCCGCTACCCACTTGGGCCACGTTAAATCAAGTCTGACTCCCATCAGCCGACTTCCTTCACCAATGTCACCACCGAAAAGGATGCTCTTGACGTGATGCAATATGAGTGTTGCCTTGAAACATCGCCAACTTCCTGAGGACCCTGCTCCCCGCACGGCGAAGCTGCCACGGCACCACATCGGGTCAGCCTGGCTCATATCCGAATGTAGCAATGCCGATGCCCGAACATTGCATTCAGCTAGAAGAAGAAACGACCGCTAAGCCAAACCAATCGCTGGAAAGGCCGCAGGTGACCATATATGCTATCGGACAGAATGAGTTTCCAAAACAAACCCTCCTCAAAACGTTGGCATACAACCAACCAACCAGCCAGCCAGCAAGCCAGCCAGCCAACCAACCCACCAACCCACCAACCCACCAACCATCTGAAGGCTGAGAACCCTGTTGACAGTTTCCATTTGAACGCAACATGCCCGACCAGTACCCTGAGGAATAACCCAACCTTGGGATAACCCCAGCTGCCCATCCTTGGGCTCCTACAACCACAGCCGCCTGGGCGTTGAATTTCAGCCCCATGTTCCTGACATATTGAACCTACGCTATCGGAAATCCGGCGACAACAGACGGCGTGTTGGACACAAAAAATGCTCCTTACCTCTGTACCTGTTACCCCTCCCGCACCATTTCAGACAAGGGGGGGGGGGGCCACGTACCACGCGGTGATTCGAAGACGCTTCACTAAATCTGTTCATTGTGCGGGCTTGCGCAACTCAGTTTGTCAAAAACATTGGGGTGTTCGATTCCCCCCTGGGTGCGCTTTCGCATCCTTAGCAGCTCCAGCGGCACATCGCCAGCATCACCTGCATCATCCGCATCAGCGCCTGCCAAGGATGTGGATGATGCAAGTGATGCTGGGGATGTTGCCCATGCTGGTGAAGGAAATGAAGGGGGGAAAGGGGGAAAGGATCTCAACAGCGAAAGGGGGGGAAAGATCTCAGGGAGGAAAAGGAGAAGATCTGGGGAAAAAATGCCTTCAGGGGGAAAGGGGGGAAAAGATCTTTGGGAGGAAAAGGGACATCTTTCTTGGGGGGAACAGGCCCTACGGGGCAATGGGGGGACAGGATCTCAAACGGGAAAGGGGGAAAAAGACTTTGGGAAGAGAAGGGTGGAGATCTTGGGGGGAAAAGGCTTTAGGGGGGAAACGGGGGAAAGGATCTTAAGCGGGAAAGGGGGGAAAAGATCTTAGGGAGGCAAAGGGAGACGAACTCGGGGTGCGAAAAGGCCTTAGGGGGGACAGGGGGGAAAGGATCTCAATAAAGGAAGGTGGGAAAAGCTCTTAGGGAGGAAAAGGGAGAAGATCTCAGGGGGGAAAAGGCCTTAGGGGGGAAAGGGGGGAAAGGATCTCAACAGGGAATGGCGGGAAAACACCTTAGGGAGGAAAAAGGAGGAAAAGGGATATGATCTCAGGGGGGGGAAAAGGCCTTGGGGGGGAAAGGGGGGGAAAGGATCGAAAAGCGACGGCCTTAAGATCTCAGGGCCGGAGAAGAATGTGGCGCCTTTGCAGAAGGAGCCGGAGACGCAGAAGCCAGGTGGCGCCTTTGCAGAAGGAGCCGGAGACGCAGAAGGAGCCGGAGGAGCAGGTGGCGCCTTTGAAGATGGAGCCGGAGAGGAGCCGGAGGAGCAGGTGGCGCCTTTGCAGAAGGAGCCAGAGACGCAGAAGGAACATCAGGTGGGAGACGCGGGAGCAGGAGGTGGTCCCTTCGCAGAAGGAGCCGGAGACGCAGCAGGTGGCGCCGGAGAAGCAGGTGGTCCCTTCGCAGAAGGAGCCTGAGGCAGAGATGGAGGTGGTGCCTTTGCAGAATGATGTGCCCGTGGAGCTGGCTGAGACGCATGTGGATGTTTTGGAGGCTGGGTGGTCTGAGAGTCTGAGTTGAGTTGCCTGTTTTTGCAAGCATTTGTACGGGTGGTGGCAAAGGTCATTTTGAACCTAGCAGCATAATAGCAAATCGTAGCATTGTTTTTGAATAGCGTGCGCCTCGTTTCCACTGCAATCGTGTAAGCCTTGCGAAAGGAAAGTGCAGCCCGCACTGCTGACGACATCGAGCCGAGTGCCAAGAAGCTGAGACGCCACACCAGCAACACCAGTGCCAGCGTTCAGAACCCTGCTGCGTCAACGGAGCGGGCCGAATCCAAGACAAAGGGGAAAAAGGAGAAGAAGGTGAAGGAAAAGAAAGAAAAGAAGGAGAAGAAAGATAAGGACAAGGCCAAGGACAAGGCCAAGGACAAGGCCAAGAACAAGGACAATAATCGCAAGGTAGAGGCAGGGTGACCGTTGGGTGACCAAAAGTTTTTTTGTTTTTGCATTGCGTTTGGCATGACCCGCAGGCGCCCGCCGTGAAGCGGAAGACGTTTGTGCCTCCTGTGGCTGTCGCTGACGCATCCACCAAAAAAGAGCGGGCTGCGCTGACAAAGGCGGCCAAGTCGTGTCAGAAGATTGTGGCCGGCCCCCTGAAGAAGAAGCGTATGGGCTGAACTTCTAGATCAAATGTGGGCCTTGTTTGGTTTGGCATGTGGCGGTTCGGATGCCATGGCCCATGACACGTGTGAGATTCCACTTTATGTACTGTAAGTTTGATGAGATGAATGAGATGTTGCGTGTTTTTGGCCACGCGCCTCCGACCTTCAAGCCATCATGCGTAGAAAAATTAGGGGTAGCACGCCGCACTCCCAATACGTGTGGCATGGTAACCACAGCTGATGGCGGCTCGAGTCAGCCAGTTTGACAATCGCATTGGAGCAACATACATAGCTCCATCAGCTGTGATGACGGGTCCTGCTGAGAAGGTAGGTTTCAGTCTCAGTCTCAGTACGGGGTAGTGGATCGCTGGATCGATGCGAGTGAGCTGAAAAACTGCTGTCTCATTCCTTTTTGACGAGACGAGTGAAGGTTGAGTCAGCATGTCTCATGCACTTCTTGGTATTGCATTGCCCAACCAACAGCATTGCCCAACAAGGCCTCACATCACAGACCCGCTGACTCTGACTCGTTGAACACTTGTCAAAATATTGATGGATGATGATGTTGACGATGACCATGATTGTTGCAGTGTTGGCCCTCAGCGTTTAGCCATTCAGCCAACTAATTAGTGCGAACTAGCGCCCTCTTAATGACGCCCCTGTGGCAATCCATCATCGCCCTTCTGGACTACCCGGACTCTGCGTGACTGTCGTGCTACCTGAATCGCATTTTGCCATTTCTGAGCGCTCACGAGCAGGCTTCCCTGCTCTGCATTTGCAACGACTGTAGGTGTGATTACATAGCGGTCAGACAGGGCACAGAACTGTCACAGCCCAAATGTGGCACTGCTGACGGTGGCTTTGAAGAGGCACAATGAGCTGAAAGGCGTGCTGAGCAATGAGCACGGGGTGCTTGGGGGAAAACAGTGAGTGAGCGGGTTTCGGGGGGCCTCAGTGAGATTGCATATTATTGTGACTTTGCCAATTGCCAAACAAATCTGAACCCCTGCAGGGGCCCCTGCAAAGGGAATATCAATTTTTCATGTCAGAGACACTGCTGAGATGGTGTCTGCCAAATCTAGGTTAGAAACATGATGAAACGCTTCCCAAAATGGCCCCCACCCACTGGTGCAAGTTAACACTCCCAGGCAGGGAAAAGGCCTTAGGGGGGAAAGGGGGAAAGGATCTCAACGGGGCAAAGGATCTTAAGGAGGAAAAGGGAGAAGATCTGAAAAGGCCTTCGGGGGAAGAGGGGGAAAGGAGCTCAACAGGGAAAGGTGGGAGAAGATCCTAGGGAGGAAAAGGGAGAAGATCTCGAGGGAAAGGGGAAAAAGGATCTCAACCAAGGGAAAAGATCTTGGGGAGGACAAGGGAGAAGATCTCAGGGGGGGAAAGGCCTTAGGGGGGAAAGGGGGGAAAGGATCTCAACAGCGAAAGGGGGGAAAAGATCTTAGGGAGGAAAAGGGGGAAGATCGCGGGGGGGAAAACGCCTTAGGGGGGAAAGGGCAAGAAAGGATCTCAACAAGGAAAGGGGGGAAAAGACCTTGGAAGGAAAAGGGGGAAGATCGCGGGGGGAAAAAAGGCCTTAGGGGGCAAAGGAAAGGAAGGATCTCAACAGGGAGAGGGGGAAAAACCTCGTAGGGAGGAAAAGGGAAAAACTCGGAGGGAGAAAGGGCCTTAGGGGGGAAAGGGGGAATGGATCTCAACAGGGAAAGGTGGCAAAAGATCTTAGGGAGGAAAAGGGAGAAGATCTCAGGGGGGGAAAGGCCTTAGGGGGGAAAGGGGGGAAAGGATCTGAGCAGGGAAAGGAAGGGAAAGATCTTAGGGAGGAAAGGGAGAAGATCTGGGAGCAAAGGCCTTAGGGGGGAAAGGGGAGAAATGATCTCAACAGGGAAAGGGGTGGAAAAGATCTTAGGGAGGAAAGGGAGAAGATCTGGGGGAAAAAAGGCCACAGGGAAAGGGGGGAAAGATCTAAGGAAGGAAAAGGGGGAAGCTCTCAGGGGGGGAAAGGCCTGAGGGGGGAAAGGGTGGGAAGGATCTCAACACAAAAAGGGGGGAAACAATCTTAGGAAGGAAAGGGGGGGGCCTTGGGAGGGAAAGGGGGGAAAGGGTCTCAACAGGGAAAGGGTGGGAAAGATCTTAAGGAGGAAAGGGGGGGAAAATCTTAGGGAGGAAAGGGAGAAGATCTGGGAGAAAAGGACTTAGGGAAGAAAGCCCAACAGGGAAAGGGGGGAAAAGATCTTAGGAAGGAAAAGGGAGCACCCTGAGAAGCTCTCAGGGGTGGGAAAGGCCTTAGGGGGGAAAGGATCTCAGCAGGCAAAGGGGGGAAGGACTTAGGGAGGAAAGGGAGAAGATTTGGGGACAAAGGCCTTAGGGGGGAAAGGGGAGAAATGATCTCAACAGGGAAAGGGGTGGAAAGGATCTTAGGGAGGAACGGGAGAAGATCTGGGGGAAAAAAGGCCAACAGGGAAAGGGGGGAAACAATCTTAAGAAGGAAAAGGGGGAAGATCTGGAAAGGCCTTAAAGGGAAGGGGGGAAAGGATCTCAACGGGGAAAGGGGGCAAAGGATCTTAAGGAGGAATAGGGAGAAGATCTCAGCGGGGGGAAAGGCCTTAGGAAGGAAAGGAGGGAAAGGATCTCAACAGGGAAAGGGGAGGAAATCTCAGTGAGGAAAGGGAGAAGATCCCAGGCAGGGAAAAGGCCTTAGGGGGGAAAGGGGGAAAGGATCTCAACAGGGAAAGGGGGCAAAGGATCTTCGGGAGGAACAGGGAGAAGATCTGAAAAGGCCTTAGGGGGAAGAGGGGGAAAGGAGCTCAACAGGGAAAGGTGGGAGAAGATCCTAGGGAGGAAAAGGGAGAAGATCTTGGGGGGAAAGGGGGAAAGGATCTCAACCAAGGGAAAAGATCTTGGGGAGGACAAGGGAGAAGATCTCAGGGGGGGAAAGGCCTTAGGGGGGAAAGGGGGGAAAGGATCTCAACAGGGAAAGGGGGCAAAGGATCTTAGGGAGGAAAAGGGAGAAGATCTCAGGGGGGGGAAAGGCCTTAGGGGGGGAAAGGGGGGAAAGGATCTCAACAAGGAAAGGGGGGAAAAGATCTTAGGAAGGAAAAGGGGGAAGATCGCGGGGGGAAAAACGGCCTTAGGGGGGAAAGGAGGGAAAGGATCTCAACAGGGAGAGGGGGGAAAATATCGTAGGGAGGAAAAAGGAAAAACTCAGAGGGAGAAAGGGCCTTAGGGGGGGAAAGGGGGAATGGATCTCAACAGGGAAAGGTGGCAAAAGATCTTAGGGAGGAAAAGGGAGAAGATCTCAGGGGGGGAAAGGCCTTAGGGGGGAAAGGGGGGAAAGGATCTGAGCAGGGAAAGGGGGGGAAAGATCTTAGGGAGGAAAGGGAGAAGATCTGGGGGCAAAGGCCTTAGGGGGGAAAGGGGAGAAATGATCTCAACAGGGAAAGGGGTGGAAAAGATCTTAGGGAGGAAAGGGAGAAGATCTGGGGGAAAAAAGGCCAACAGGGAAAGGGGGGAAAGATCTAAGGAAGGAAAAGGGAGAAGCTCTCAGGGGGGGAAAGGCCTGAGGGGGGAAAGGGTGGGAAGGATCTCAACAGGGAAAGGGGGGAAACAATCTTAGGAAGGAAAAGGGAGAAGATCTGGAAAGGCCTTAAAGGGAAGGGGGGAAAGGATCTCAACAGGGAAAGGGGGCAAAGGATCTTAAGGAGGAATAGGGAGAAGATCTCAGCGGGGGGAAAGGCCGTAGGGGGGAAAGGGGGGAAAGGATTCCAACAGGGAAAGGGGGGGAAAGATCTCAGGGAGGAAAGGGAAAAGATCCCAGGGAGGAAAAGGCCGTAGGGGGGAAAGTGGGGGAAAGGGAGGAAAAGGGAGAAGATCTCAGGGGGGAAAAGGCCTTAGGGGAGAAAGGGGGGCAAGGATCTCAACAGGGAGAGGGGGGAACACATCTTAGGGAGGAAAAGGGAAAAACAGAGGGATAAAAGGCCTTAGGGCGGAAAGGGGGAATGGATCTCAACAAAGAAAGGGGGGCAAACATCTCAGAGGGGAAGGGGGCAAGGGGACAATTCCAAAGGGACGCAAATAAGAAAGCAGGCCTGTAATGTCGGCGGCCTGAGCCGGAGGCGTTAAAATTTCGACAAGGCGATGCGTGCCAGTCATCCGCATCCGCCTGAATGCGTTCACTGCAACTCGTGACAAAGGCAGCAAACATGGAACCTCCTCACACATGGATTTGCGCAACTGCCAACATTGGTTTCAACTTGCTGGCATTTGCCGAAATGATGCCAATGATGAGTTTGCAACACAATGTGTTGATGCGTCATGCTAACCACCGCTGGGCCTTGGTAGTTGAAACACAATTTCCTGAAATTGTCCACAAAGAGGGTTGAGGAAATGGTCAACAAGTCACCTACCCAACAAACCAACCAACCCAACCCGACCCAACCCAACCAAACCAAAGCAAACCAAGCCAATCAATATATCCATCTATCAATCAATCAAACAATCAATCAACCAAACAAACAATCAAGCAAACAATCGACCCAATCATCCATGAATCACTCCATCTCTCAATCTCTCAATCTCTCAATATCTCCAGCAATGAATCAATGAATCAATCAATGAATCAATGAATCAATGAATGAATCAATGAATCAAGAAATCAAGGAATCAAGGAATCATTGAATGAATGAATGAATGAATGAATGAATGAATGAATGAATGAATGAATGAATGAATGAATGAATGAATGAATGAATGAATCAATGAATGAATGAATGAATCAATCAATTCATTTAAAAACAAAAAATCAATCAAGTCAATCAATTCCACAATGAACCCATCCGTCCATCAATCAATCAAACAAACAAACGCAAACACTATCTACTGGCCATTTCTGCTCATCTGACATTCAGTCGAACACAATGGGCTCGCCATGAGCCAGGCAGGCTAAAGTCAGCTATCCCGCACGAGTGTGGATGCAAACTGAACTTGTAGAGTGCGCCAAATTCCGCAGCCTGAACTGCATTTGATCAAAGTGCAAACACCATGTCACAACACCCTGAAGCAAGAGTTGTGTTTTCAAAAATAGGTTGGCGTTCAAAATGCGCACGCCCAATCCGATGCGCCCATTCCTGCCTCATCGGAAGCTCTGAAGTTAAAGTGGGCCAAGGTTGGACCTGTTGTCCCGTTGGAATCGTTTGGGCAAAATTGTGTCCTTTCTAGAATCATTGATCACCTTTTAAAGACTTACTAGATCACATAACAAGCAAGCGGCAATCACATGTGCACGCTGGTAGAAGTGTCTGTTTCTGAACTTGGCTTGTCGCCTGGCGAAAGCTGGAGTTCCAGCATGGTTCCTCGGCTGAGCTGTATGCGAACAGCATTTCAACGAGTACCTTCACAACAAACCATGGCATGGCGCCAAATTGAGGGCAAGGCCGAAGAAAGTGTGTCGGAGAAGCATGTAATTGACACCTGGTGCGAAACTGTCAACCAGTATTTGTTTATCCCTGTCGATGCAACTATGTCAAGAACTGCCCGCAGCCTATGGGGGAGCACACATTGGCAAGAACGTCCCACATCTCTGACCTCATCAGCGCGGTCTCCCATGCATCAGGTTCAGGTTGGTGTTCAAAGACTCGGACAAGTGAAGCGTTGACAAAGGATTTGCCTCAGTCACCGTAAATGCAAGATCTATGAAGGCTGGGCCAATCAGTAAGAGTCTGGGATGCGAGCACATAACTCCAAGTCCCCACCCCAGCCACGCTTGTCGACAAGCACCTCAGCATCAACGTTCAGCACCAACAAACATGTCCATTGCATCCATGTTCTGCACTAATCGCATCAAATGACTGCCTTGCAAGAGACAACTCAGCCAAATGCTGGCAAATACATTCGTACCCAAAGTTCTGCCTGGCAGTTCTTGTTGCGGGTAGCTGCAAACGACCAAGCCAAACAAGTTCCCTGGCCTCGTGCGAAGAATACAAGAGCTTGCTTAGCCTAGTGAAAAGCGGTGTCAAACAGTTTCAATGGCAGCAATCCCATCAAGTTTCGCGCGAAGTTGCCCTTAAGTAAACGAGAACCTCAGCTATCATGGGGCGTTGAAAACATGGCATGGATGCAAAATGGAGAGGACCTGCAACCGCGTCTGCATGGTTTGCTGAAAAACACCCTGAGACCATAGCGTTGAAAAAAAGGTCGGCCTTGGCACAGCAAGGAATGTCGGAATGCCCATACACACATACACAATCACACAATCACACAATTACTCAATCACAAAATCACACAATCCCACAGACCCACACGGTCAAACACGCCAAATGCAATCTCGGAACGCAATTCCACTGAGGAGCAAGCTATGGATTGGAACAGGCCATGAGTCTGCCACGCCGCTTGCACCATGCTCTATCCATGCTCTGGATCAAAACATTCAAGTAGACGAACACAAAACACAGCCAAACTGTTAGCACGTTAAACATGCTATTGTTGGACCCGCTTCAATAGTGAATCTGCGGCTGCTTAGGGGCCCGGAATTATGGAAGTGTTTCGCCGCCCGGAACAACAAGCAACAACAATATCAGTCCACGTCTCTGTTCGCATCTTTGTATATATTCTCATTCTATGGGGTGCTTAGCTTAGTCCCTTCCCAGCTCACAGGCATAGAATTTAGAGAAATCTTAAAATGTGGACCGGCAATACAAACTAAGTATTGGCAATGCTAAGTTATGCAGCCAAACTCAAGCCCATGCCCACTCCCAACGTGACTGAACAATACTAAATTTAGCATATTGCCAATACTGCCAAAACTTTACATTGCCCAACTTGATCCCACGCCCAAATCCCACTATTATACAAACAAGCCTTTAAACCATGTTCGAGTGCTTGATGAATTTGACATGTCTGCGTGCTGAAGCTTGATGCTGTGCCTCCAACAGCGAGTCCGCACGGCGCTGAGTGTTCTCGTTGACCGGACACATCGTCGCCTATTCAGGAAGAAATTGCGGCAATAGTTGCCCACTCAGCTGCTTTGATTTCACTTACGAATTACTGCACACATTTATAGCACAACAAAGAACATACACACAGCGCTTCCAACTCACAGGAGAACAAAGCCTGCAGCTGCAGCGTCAGGCCCAAGTACCAGAAGTGGCCATTGCGAACAACAGCCGTCGGAATCAGCTGTTGAATCAGCTTCAAGCACAAGAACGTGGGTACTGTTGCAAGCCTTGGCATATCGTTGAATTACATTGAGTACTTGCGAATTTCGATAGTTGATGCCCATTTTGCATGGTTTGCGTATGTTGTATCATTTTTTTCAAAAAAATAACAATAAACAATAATATGTGGTATTTGCAGTGGACAATGTGAGGCTTGCCTAGGTTTTTCTTTTCAATAATGCAATCCATGCTAAACATCTGTGGTGTTTGTGGTGGGCGATGTAGCAGCGTAACGAGACATCATGAAAACTTTCATGGATCGTTGCGCCATGCGCAGCAACGACTTGAGCGGCAAGCAAATGTGTAGTTCAATGCAGCAAGCGTCTTGACAGCTCTGGATGTCAGGTAGTCGAATGATTCTCACCATTCACAATGTTTGAAGCGATGCTCTGCTAGCAAGGTGCTTTACCACTAATATACAATTCAGGCTAAGCTTGTGGCGAAGCTCCTTCGAAAGAGTTCCCCCACTGTACATCGGTGCATGGATGCAATTGTGTTGACACAATGTGCACCATGCACGGATCCTAATCGCAATGAAGAATTGAAGCTGTACACGCATCCTGCCATAATTCATGCTTAGTTCCATGATTTGACGCACACACAAATAACACTCGCCGGAAGCACCATCTAAATCTGCAGCCACTCAAACAGGTGGAAACAGGGTTCAACCTTCCGGGGTCTGAACAGTCGCATGGCTTCAAATGATCAAGTAAGTTCAACTTCAGCTGGCAGTCTCAGGCGCGGGCCACTGCCCAGCTCACCGCAGCGTAGTTCAACAGTCGAATCGGAGTCAGAACCTGAACGATTCAGTGCACATGTGGGCAGCCAGTCCTCCGGGCATATGGTGTTTGTCCCACACCCGAGTCGTAAGGCAAATGCGTTGTATCCTATCGGAGTCGATTTTTCTTTGCAGGCCCTGACAAGCAAATCGGTGCTCATCTGCGATTTTCATTCTATCCACAGCACGGCTCGCGGCTATTGCAGCAAACATGTCAGAGCAGCTCATGGTCAGAATGCGGAATGCCACACAGTCGCAAAGCTGCTGGGATTATGAACCTCATCGCATTTCATTGCAATTGTCATTGTGCCAACTTTTGCTAATCATAAACACAAGGCTCCCAGCCTCAAAATTTCTTTGGTCAAAGCCTTCACAGCGAACACCACGGCAAGGCCAAGGAAAAATCGCCGCCCTCAGCAGTCAATGTCTATAACGTGCAAATATGCCACCGCGCCTGCAAAGAAAGCAAAACTCCAACTGGTGATGCTGCCTCTGACCTTACTGTAGACTTCTGCACATCATAGGGCACTTGACCATTCACCAATATGAAGCGACAACAATTGAAAATGTGTCAAATGAGTTCCCACACACGCGCACTTCCAACCGGACATCACCCGCAACTCAAATATGTTGTTTAGGTTTTGCCGACATCCTCCGCAACTCAATGCCTGTGGTGAATGAGATAGCATCCACGCAAAGCTGTCACAACTTCGCTACTTGCCCCCTGGCAATGCGCAGTCTTTCCGCAGCTTCGGCCTCGGAGGGAAGTGGGCAAGGTCGTTTGCACACATTGACATTCATGGGTTCAATACATTTGATGTCTGCCACATGCAGACAAAATCAACAAATGATTCAACTCTTTTTTAGCACAGCACTTGCACGACCTAGTGTTTTGAGTCGAGGGCCAATCAAATGTGGGTTACACAAATCGACAGGGCAAGAAAAAGAAGGCAACTCTCAGATCCAAACGTTGTGGTATTGTGGGCATCGCCACCTTCACATCATGTCAAAAGTCCTGCTAAAGGCCAAGCCGCTATTGTAGTGTTTATACATTGAGATACATTCTATATTGTAATAAGTTGCGATAGTCCGCCGACGTTGCTCGGCGTGTCGGACACCTAAGAGAGGATAGAGGATAACCCCCCCCCCTAACCCCCCCCCCACCCGACATCTGATACGTGGGGGGGGGGGGGGCCCCCCCCCCCCAAGGACCGCGCGGCAATTTGATGACGTTCCACTAAACGTAGTCTTCGGGGAGCCGGTGTCGCAAAACAGGGGTCCCAGGCTCGATTCCCCCTGCCGGCTTTTTTGCTGGCTTGGGCTTCCTGCATCCTTTTGCCGAAAATCTGGCAAAACTCTGTGTTTTTGGACATCCTCTTTGCGAAAACGCTGGAAAAACCGTGTTGTTTGCGGGAAATACTGGGGAGCAAAGGGGAAGTGCAAGGATACATACATACATACAGACAGACAGACAGACATACAGACATACATACATTACATTACATTACATTACACATACATTACATTACATACATACATACATACATACATACATACATACATACATACATACATACATACATACATACATACATACATACATACATACATACATACATACATACATACATACATTACATTACATTACATTACATTACATTACATTACATTACATTACATTACATTACATTACATTACATTACATTACATTACATTACATTACATTACATTACATTACATTACATTACATTACATTACATTACATTACATTACATTACATTACATTACATTACATTACATTACATTACATTACATTAGATTACATTACATTACATTACATTACATTACATTACATTACATTACATTACACATACATACATACATACATACATACATACATACATACATACATACATACATACATACATACATACATACATACATACATACATACATACATACATACATACATACATACATACATACATACATACATACATACATACATACATACATACATACATACATACATACATACATACATACATACATACATACATACATACATACATACATACATACATACATACATACATACATACATACATACATACATACATACATACATACATACATACATACATACATACATACATACATACATACATACATACATACATACATACATACATACATACATACATACATACATACATACATACATACATACATACATACATACATACATACATACATACATACATACATACATACATACATACATACATACATACATACATACATACATACATACATACATACATACATACATACATACATACATACATACATACATACATACATACATACATACATACATACATACATACATACATACATACATACATACATACATACATACATACATACATACATACATACATACATACATACATACATACATACATTACATACATACATTACATACATACATACATACATTACATTACATTACATTACATTACATTACATTACATTACATTACATTACATACATACATACATTACATACATACATACATGCATGCATACATACATACATACATACATACATACATACATACATACATACATACATACATACATACATACATACATACATACGAGAGAGGGAGATTGGGGAGAGAGAGGCTTGGGGGGATGGGGAGGTTGGGGAGCAGAGGGAGGGAGAGAGGACGACAGAACACACCAGGGAGACAAGGGAGAGAGGAAGAAGGAGAAAAGGGAGAGGACAATGTCGGCGGACTGGGGGGAGCAGAGGGAGGGAGAGAGGACGACAGAACACACCAGGGAGACAAGGGAGAGAGGAAGAAGGAGAAAAGGGAGAGGACAATGTCGGCGGACTGAGCCGGAGGCTCTAAAGTTTTGCTGGTTCTGCACGGTGGCGAACATCTGTATCAAAGCATGAGTTGTGGCAACCACACACGGTGCTGCTGCATGGCGATTGCGATTCCTTGAGAGCCTCACACTCCCGTCAGCACACCAAGACCTAGCCACAATGCATGACACGTCTCGCGAACAGAAACCTATCAAAACATCCAACGCGGGACAATGATCAGTTCCAGGCACACCCCAGTGCAATAGACGGCGTAGTTGTAGGACGGAGTTTTCCTTGCACAAACCATATCACCGGCTGTTTTGCATGCAGTCAAGTCCCATGATTTTTATGTTCCGGGTTGCGGGCTGCAAACCTTGTGGGTAGGTCCAGCCTAAGAGCAAAAACGCGGACGATTTTTTCCTTGTACATGTTGCAAGCGTCAGGCACAGAAGCACCGCGAAGGCGAACTGATACATTGGAACCTTGAACGGGAACAGACAATCTTAAAAATACATGCATTAGTCATGCATGCTATTCACCTTCAAGCTGAGCGCCAAGCCCAAACTGTGGCTGACGTCATCCAAGCATCTACAAAATCATCAACCTGAGCAAACCACACAAGGATACGTGCAAAAAATCTCCAGTCGAACCTGGACGTAGGCATGTAGCCTGAGTAAACTTAGAATTCCAGTTTGCAGGGCGGTTGAAGCGTCGAGGCAATGACAACAAAATCGCTATCAGCAGGCCAGCCACCTGAGCGCTGCGTCAAATCCAGAACATCCGGTCGGCATCAAATCTGATAGCATTCCTGAGGCAACCGCTATGTCCACAGGGGAGTGCATTCCCAAGTACACGCGGCCCCACCTGAGTGACCGATGCCATTTTTGGCCCGCCCTGCCCCCCCTCGAAAAAAATATGGCTAAGCCCCCAGCATGATGAACAAACACCAGATGATGTTGAGTCCAAACAACCTGCATGAACATGATCCGCAAGCAGAACTGTTAATCAAGATGTCGCCTGGTTTTATCGAAATCTAGGGCACCCGGCATGCACAACCAAGGAGACCTGCCAAGGATGCATCCGGTTAATACAGCCTATACGCGTGCACTCCTCCGGTGCAGAGCCTTGCTATATTCCAGTATACAGACATGCCGTCACCAAAGCCTCAAATTGTGTTGTCAACAGTTTTGACCGCACGAAAACGTTGTTGGCTTAGGTCGGCGCTGGTCGAGCTGCTGTAAAAGTAGAGTATGTAGCTCCATCTTGGCAGATTTTGCCATGAACATGAGCATCCATGCACCAAGGGGACGCCAATGGGTGCCCCGCATGCACAAGGTATTGATTGTGTGGGTGCCTCAGCCAACACGCATGACCCATTCGTTGTTCCAGTACCTTCTCTGTCTCTCTCTCTCTCTCTCTCTTTCTGCACCTGTTGTGCTTCCTTTTTCTCAGGCAGCGAGCTGGGCAGTCCGTACTCCATGTCGTCAGTGGACCTTCATGGAAACCAAGCCAAATTGGGCTAGTTGGTCTAAAGGTCTAACTCCAGATGCCCCAGTTGAACCAGCTGATCCAGTTGAAGTTGGTCCAGCTAGACCATAGTTGTACTGGCCAAACTTGGGCCTCAACTGGCCCAGCTGGATGTCTTGGTTGGCTAGACCAACTAACTAACAGAACTTGACCTCCAGGTTTAGCAAACGCCTTCTGCATCTGTGCCCCCTGCGACCCATCCCCGGCACCATCTCCTAAGGGCCGCATTAAAGCATTTGCAAAAATGCACCTAGAAGGCTCATGCGAACCAGGCTAACACCCTTGCTCCAGTCAGGCCTTGATGTCAGGTGAGAGACAGGCATTTAATTGCGGATTCTGATCGTGGCATGCCTGCTTTTACAAGCCATGCAGAGAGCTAAGAATCACTCCGAGGAGCACTGATTGCATCTTTGATCGCGTTGCCAATCTTGGGCGAAGTGTTACTATAGTGCTGTCTGGCCAGCGTTCATGTTCCGGCAGCATGGTAGACCAGCCCTTTCCAATCACAGGAAGCACTCACTTAGAGCGGGGCATAGATTATCGTTGCCATGAACCTAGGACATGCCAGGATTCGTGGGAAGGAAACGCGTCTTGAGCGCTTGCAAATATTCTGCTCACTCCTCAAATTAGGCCTGGGTAAACCAGGGCGAAGGCGAGGTCGTGTGCCGGGCGAGCCTTGCAGCTGCTGCCCTTACAAAACTTAGTGAAATGCCATGCCGAACATCATGAAACATCAGAGCAAATTCACCCACCAGGGTGGAAGAATGCACTGTGATATGTTTCCTCTATTTTCCGGCCGTGGGTTCCGTGGCACCCCCCTCAGGGCCCGGCTGAAGCTCTCCAATCTCAGCCAGAGGATGCCGCAAGGCTTATGCCCAAAGCGTCAACCGAGGCAAAGGCCCAGAAGAGGAACGGCAACATCGTGATGTAAAAGGGTACCTTTCCAGTTTTGGGAACCGATTCGACCTTCCAAATAGATGCAAAATGTCAGAGGCCGGGCCTCATCGGCATCTGAGCTCACGCGCTTTCTCCAATTTCACTTGGCAGCATTGCGTTCATCTTCGCACCTTTATGTGCCCCGATGCACCGCATGCAACCCTGAACCGCGCCAGTCAGCTTCCTGTTCATTAGCGAGGTCATTCGGGTTCTCTCTGGGTCTCCCAACCTGGGCCCGACAAGTAAAGAACGCATAGGCAAACTGGACATCTTGCACAGACTTCATCAGACCCATCTGTGCAGCAAAACCACTTCGTCAACCCTGTCTTTAGGGTGATGTGCCGGCAACCTCTTCAAGTTACCAGCAATGCAGCAATGCTAGCGCTCGCATGGCAAGCTGGTCCACCCGCTGTCGAGCAGACCACTGGAAAAGCCATCGCAAGAGGGGGTCCGCTGGCCCTGGCAAAGACAGAATCCAGCCGACCTAAAAGCTTAAATTGGCGGGGCCGTCCTAGCATCACTCAAAGCTGCCAAACAGCACGTATCCTTGACCGTGCTGGGTCTCAACGAAAGAGATGGCTTCCTCAGTGTCAATGCTCGGACTTGGGGACGCCCCAAATCTAGATGCGGTCTGATATGGTGTCTGTTTCTTGCGGCCCAGTGTAAGAATCTGCCTTGACCCATCTTCGGCTCGAGTTATCGAACTGAGAGCTGCGCTACCCCCCACAACGGGCATGTGGCAGACCTGGCTGAGGACAACGCAACGAGCAAGCGAGTGCTTCAAGTGCGTGGACATAGTCAAAACCGTGGACCCGGCATCTGCAAGTCATCGGAAGCCTGGCAACTTGTGGCAAGTTAAAGCAGCGCTGCAACACGCCAAGCCAACGTATGCCAACGCTGGCTACAGTGCCTTGTCGCTTGGCTGGAAGGTGCCTCGATGCAAGTCAAGCCGTCGAATCGATCGAATGGACGCATGCAGTAAGGCTGTAAGGTCTGCGCCAAGCTGGACAGCTGCCGTGTCGAATGACCATGGCTGCAACAGCCTCGAGCTTCGGAAGCCACGAGCTGGGACCTTGGGCACCGAACCGCAAAGGAATGAAAAGGCATGCTTAGACATGCTTAGGCTGTGTGCCCACTGCACTCTGTACCGCCCTGTATGGGTTGGTTGGCTGGAAGCACATCTCCCAGGACCCTTGCAGCATAAAAAAGAAAAGAACAAGCCTGCCCATGCCTGGAATACTGAATTGCAGGTTACGGGCGCCCAGCAGCAGCACACAACGAGCATTCACAATTTTCTTCCAGCAGTGAGCGTTATTCAACCTTTCCGCCTCACTGCAACCCATGACCAACGCACTGGCTGAATCCAAAATCAAGCAGCCAAAAATACAGACGATGTCTCCAGCGCTAATGGACAACCTGCTTCACAGTGATGCCCTGCAAAACGCTCAAGTAGCAACAGGCTTGGGGCCAAATCCAGGCCAACAAAGGCATGCCCTTGGCTTTCAGCCAGGGCATCCACGGCATCAAAATAATTCAACAAGTCACAAAAATTGCAAAAGCGTGGCCAATCATGGTTCACAACTCTCCCGGACTCCTTCGAGTACATCTGCAGTGTAAAAGCGTGCGGTTCTCTCTGCTCTCGGCTCTTCATCAACTGAGCAGGGCCGAAGATGGATCTTCTGAGCTCATGCAACTTAGGGGCTACAGTAATCGACGCGCAGTGCGCGTCAAACATGTTGAACAGCCAGTCGCTTCGATGTTGATTGAGACAACATACATCATGGCCATCCAAAGGTCTCCAATCGGCAAATTCCCCCCTTCAACATTCTCAAATCAAGATGGGGGGGGCGAATTGGGTATTGTCAAGGAATATGTAGAACCAACCTGCCGAAGCCATTGGGCCTGGGTCCGGCTGCCAAACACATCGACCATCCAATCCTGCCTGTCTCCAAGAAGTCTGTGAGAGACACTTGCATACCATGTCCCAGAAAATCATCCAGGCTTTGCTCTACAGAGCATGTGCCCCAGGGAGTCTCTGCGATGAAGTCCTCAAGATTCAGCACACCTGCACAGCAACTGGTCTGGAAACTTCACACCCGAGGCTGCAAGGCAGTGGGGACATGCCCGTGACTTCACTGTCCAAAACCAAGCCTCCAGATGACACCGCTCGCTCGGAGTCCCTGGCGGTCTCTTTCGGAAGATCCTGCAGGCGGGGATGAAAAAGTTCTCTTTGGAATTGGTCAACAGGTTGAAGCTGCAGATCAGTGCGGAGCCCTACTGTTGCGCCAACAGTGGCTCCATGCCTTCAACAAATTGCAGGACTCCTGGCATCCGTTGTAGCCGCCGGTACTGTCAGCACAGAAATCACTCCTTGAACGGGCTCTGCCAACTGGGGGTTGGCAATCACCGGCGATATCATCCTCAAAAGTGCTTCGTGAGCGGGGCCTTCCAAGACCCACAAACTCATCAGGCTCTCCAGGCAAAAGTTCGTGCAGTGGCTCGTCATAGCCCAACCTGCTGCGATCTTGCAGCCATCGCTGCATCTTGTTCACCTGCTTCTGCCTCTCCACATCTGACACACGTCTGCCGCTAGAGAAATTGTCCGAACCCATGACGATGCTGTACCGATAGCCGAAGGCAACCGTCTTCTTTGCGTTCTTCTTTGCTTTCTGATCCTGCTTCCTCGTCACAACACGCACGATAGAAAGCTATTCAACAGCAGCGTTTGGAAAGATCACGCTTGTATGCTTGTGGAAAGATCACGCTTGTATGCTTGTGGGCCTCACACTCCAGCAGGGAGTCACACGCTAGCCAATCCAACTTGAAGTGGCATTGATTTCAACAACTCGGGATGCCAAAGGGATTCAGGTCGCATGCCCCCGAGGCCCAGAAATATTGATGTGCACTGCATGGCCGGCTTTATCCCAACATGCCACCAGAATGTGCACAGGCACCATCGCCTGGTACAGAGTTGTTTTGTTTGGGCTGGATCTGCTTGAAGCGGAATGAAATACGTGCACAGACGAACACAAACACACGGCACAAAAGTGACAAAAAAGCCTCAAACAGCATCTGATTCTCAAACATTACGACAAATGACTGCCACCGTACGCCTATCAACGAGCCACTCGCTATCTGCAGCATAGTTTGAGCTCTGCCCGAAGCATGGAGGGGGAGAGAGAGAGAGAGAGAGAGAGAAAAACAAAAAGATAAAGAGAGATAAAGAGAGAAAAGAGATAAAAAGAGAGAGAGAGAGAGAACAAGAGATAAAGAGAAAGAGAAAGAGAGAGAGAAAGAGAGAGAGAGAGAGAGAGCCGAAAAAACACCAAAGCAAAAATTGCAGAATGACTCTGACAATGAGGCGTAGACAGGCGTAGGCTTGCTCCTCTCACAATTTGCCAAGCTGCGGCTCGCCCAGCTCCAGCGCAGCTGGAGCGGAGGCACGGTGAGGAGGCATCTCCTCACCTGTCCCGACACTGTCACAATCAAAACTTGACATAAACGTATTCAAGTCTAAGCGGCGGTCAAGTGGTCTATATTTGAAGAATCAACAGGGTGCCGCACTTTCATGAAACGCGCTCTCCCTACAACAGGCCTCCGGGCTGGGGCTGTGCGCAGGCTGAAATCCACGCAGAAAGTGAGGCACGCAAATTTTGGAGGAGAGGGCACCTCTCCTTGAAACGCAGCTGGCAGCCATGGAAAGGACGGGGGAAGTTCAGGAGGTTGACTAGCCTCTTCGAGCTTTGGCGACAAAACTGAAGAAGGAGGCGGTGGTGCGTGAGAGAATTGCTTCATGTTGATGGATTTGAGGATGTGTTGCACCTGCAAGCTTTTTGCAACATCAGCCAATGCAATGCGTTGTCCATTCCCAGAAGACCAAGGCCAACATGAGAAAGCAAAATTCTGGGCTGCAGAGACCGGGTCGGTCGTGGACAGCCCAGAAATCCAAAGTTCGCAGCAAGTTGAAGAAGTGTTTGTTGAGCGTGGCAACTACCCTGCCAGCCATGTCACGGTGAATTACAAGACCTGCAAGGTGTCCGCACCTGTGGATTCCAAGTCAGTTCCAGTAGCGCGGGTTGGCAACGACTTGGATGTGCAACGGTTGAATGACAACCGTCCAAGCAAAGATGTGCGTGAAGCCCTTGTGGGTGCAATCAAGGATGGAGTAGGTAAGGCGTCATCAGAAACCACGAGCATGGACAGCGGAATTGTTTTGTTGCCACCCATTCACACACACACACCCAAAAAAAAACGGAACGAGGACAGGAGCAAAACGTGTTTGCCAAGCGCCACGGTGCTTCGGTTGATCTCATTTTCCTATGTGAGACCTGGCCGGAACTTCGTCAAAAACACCGAGGAATTCGAAGGGACATCATGTATGGCATTTCAAATGCAGCTTTATATGTTCATGTTTTTTCTTCCCGGCCTTGCTTTACATTTTCGGCTTGCGGAATTTAACCTTTGTGTTTTTTTGATGAAGAGGCTGCAGGAAACTATGTGATCATTGGTGGTGACTTCAATGCATTTATCGGAAAATCACGGAGTCAAAATATTTGGCGCCTTTTGTGCCCGTGCAAAAGACAGTGGCTCACGCAGGAGGGGCCACAACATGTGGGAAACGCATGCGTGGCAAGGAGCACGGTCCTGAGAGCTGGACTTGTCGTACTGTTGATGGGGCTCATGTTCAACATGACTTTAAGCGACTAAGCGACGCTCATCCTTGACAAGTTGGCAGCTAAGATTGGATGATGCAAATGAAGCAGTTCAATGTCATTCTGCGATGCGACCAACACAGTCTCTAATTCCGAATGCTGCCAAACTCACACCTTCGCATGTCAACAGGACCTAAAGCAACAATATCTCCCATAACAAAACCAACTGTGGTTTACAAGACTATTAAAAATCAGTCAAGAGACCCTCAAAACGTGTCAAATTTCTAGAAGCCACTTTTCTGTAGATTGTTGCGTTCGCATAAGTGGCTTGGGTGCATGCTAACTCCTGGA